AAAATAATTTCACATAATTATAATAATGAAAAAAAGAAAGACACATACAACAGCAGTGGTTTTAATATTTTATTCGTTTTTGACTGAAGGGGGAACAGTGATTTGTGGACTACTAGACTGACAAACAGTTTTTATCCCCAGGCCATCAGGCTTTTGAACCGCGGGCCTTAACCACCATCTACCTCTATGTTTGCAATTTTTGCACAAGACACTGCACATTACATCTCCTATTTGTTTGAATTGCCATCCTACTTCACATTGATCTGTCACCTGTTATCTTATTCTTTTTTTTAATAATGTTTATTTTTCATTCTACTTATATATTTTGTTTGACTTATGCACTTTATATTTTATATTTTGTATTTATTATATTTCTTCTTTTTTTCTCTTTATATTAGTAAGCATAGATCAATGGTCGGGCAGTTGCAAAAAAGGAATTTCATTACCCAATAATAAACCGCTGTGTCTGTTATTGTGTACATGACCAATAAACATCTTGAATCTTGAATGTGACTAATGAGAGCCAATCAGGAAGAAGCGTCATCGTTTACTAAAGTCTCAGTTTGTGTTCAGACCAAAACACAAAACCAGAGTTTTCAAACTAAGACGAATCAGTGTGGGCAGAGCCAGTGATGCCGTCAGCTCCCCGTGAGGCTGTCAGAAGTATTGCGTGGGGTCACTCTTGTCACACATCTGGACGTGGACGTGTGACGTGATTCCTGGATAAACACTCTGCATGGGCATCATGGTGCCGATTCGCTGACCCTTCCTCACCGAGCCTAAGGTTCGGTCCGGATTCACGTAGAACAGCTTGAAGCACAGACCTGCAACAACACGACCAGTGAGCTGATGACGTCACAGTGACGCCTCTGTATTCTGCTGTGAGGGGGCGGAGCACCGACCTTCTCCTCGCAGGTTGATGCCGTTGTTAATGGCGGCCTTCTTGGTGTCGGTGTAGACGGTGAGTCGTCCTTCGAGGGTCACGTCAAACGGAGCGTAGACGATTGAGCCGTCGCTGCACACGATGTCCAGACCTTTATGTTCCCGGGTTCCCCTGAAACACACGCAGCCGATCAGCAATCACTAATCGATTCATCTGTTTACTTTTTTCAGTCAATTAGACGTTTGTCTTATTTTATCTTTATTTTCTGGTGTCAAACTGTAAACAACTGCAGCGCCTATGTTTCCCACGATGCCTCTGTGTGGTTGTGTTTTTTTGTTACCGTCTGGCTCCATAGTGACCGTGACCCCAACTGTCCAATGTCCGTCTGGTGTTTGCTGAGTTTCCACTGCAGAGCTGACCGAACCTAACAGCATCACACACACACAACACAGCTGCACACACAGTCACACACACACACACACACACACACAAACAGAATTGATTGTGTCTTTTGAGTTGTGTCAACATGTGTTGGTCAGTTAATTTTTCCACAAACCAGACTTCATTTAAAAAACACAGATTTAAAAAAATGTTACATATCAAATACATTTTCCAAATAAGAATCAATGAGATGAGTTTCTCGTGCTCGCTCGGTTTGGAACAAGTTTGATTTTGTCTTTTTTAAGATCTTTGGACGTTTGTGCAGCACCCTGAGACAACTGTTTGTTTTGATACAGTGCTAAATAAATAAATGTGATTGATTGATTGAGACATTTAAATATGTTTATTAAATTTAAATATGTTTAAATGTCTCATGTTTTATGAGAAAGATCAGAAAAGTAAATTCAGTTTCTCACCCAAAACGACCACAGCCCCGACACGTCTCATGTTCAGATCCAGGTTCCTCTGTCACACTGAGCTTGGTTCAGATGCAAACAGTTACAGGATTTTCTATTATTTCACAAAATCAAGCTGGGTCACGTTTCTTCTCTGTGACAGAATCAAACCTCTGGACTCAGACAGCAGCTGTTTACCTGACCTCTGACCTCCTCGGGTTCAGTCAGTCAGGGCTGAGTGAAAACTGTCTGCAGGTTCTTTGTTGTGCAGGTGACGCGTCAGTGAGTCATGTGTGACAGGATTAATCTGATTGGTTGAGTCTAGCTTCACATGTTCATGTTGTTCTGAAAGTTGTTTACAGATGTAAACAAATAAAAGCTGGACGACCAGACGGCTCCTTAAAAGTGAAGCTACTTCATCACGATTGCACAGAATCTGTTTTTTTGATGTTGTAGAATATAATAAATGATCATTAGTGCAGCATTGAGCCAAGTGGCAACAATTACAAACATGAAAAATAATTTCAGTAGAAATGTGTTAGTTATAGTTTATTTTATTTTTCTACAAACAAGACTTCATTTAAAAAACACAGAATTTAAGAACATGTGTCTTGTTCATGTTTTTTATCCCTGAGTTGAAACTACATGAAACTTTCTGACAGAAATAGACGACAAAGTGAA